GTGCTGGCGCCAGGGCTTGCCGCAGTGGGTCGCGCTGCTCAGGGCCTTTTCGTGCTGTCGGATTAGTGTGGTTTACCCCGGTTTTCCCCCGGGAGATAGAGGGTGGCTGCTGGGGCTCCACCTTCGAGTCGGTCTTGTCAGGTGTGGGGCGGGCGTAGGGCCCTCGGACCTGGGCTGTTAGCTTACCGCCCCGTCTTGGAGGGGAGCATCTGCGAGTGAAGGCCAGGGTGAGTAGGTCCCTGCAGGATCTGGGTTGTGGTGGTATTTGCCGCATGGTGAAGCAAGGCGGGAGCATTTCACCCGGGGCTCCGTACTCGGGGGTCGTGGCTTTTTCATCCGTCTAGTTGCCGCCAAGTTCCCAAACGCATCGTGGTTTTGAGCATTTCAGGCTGTGGTGGGTTTAGTAGTCATGCTGATATTGCCTAAATAGTTCATAAAGTGAGCTGGCATTCAAATATTTCAGTATTATCTGGCTTTTCCCTTCCCACGAATCTTTGTTTTTGAACTGTGGTGTGTTCAGGAAGTTTCAGCTGACTTAAGGCACTTACTGATGTGCTGTTCAGTTAATTACACTAATGTTGTTAATAATATATATTAATGCTGCTTGTCTGCATTCCGTACTCTTTATGCATTTTTGGAATATGTTTTCTGTTGGAAAGTGATTTAATGTTCAGAAACTGATTGCAAAGTCTTGTTTTGAGATACCCTGAAAGCCCTTTTCTGTGTCAGTCGTCCCACTTACTGGATTAAGTTTTTGTAGTTTTATGTCACAGATCTGTATTTGAGATTCTGAATTGCACACAAAGCTGTAGGAACTGGTGGAAAAATCAGTGAGGGAAAAGCAGGGCAGTAGGAGAATAATGGAGTAGGAGAGTAACTGCATGCTGCTGTTGAAATACAAGTTTTATAAGTAAAAAACCAGGGTTTGCTGCTTGTATTTTCTCTTCCTTTTTCTTGCCTTCCTACTTTGCCCTCTTCAGCTTTTGTTTCAGTGCATTACTTTGTAGTAGTACGGATTTTGCAGGCCGGTTGTTAATCTTAAACACATTGCTTAGGTAGACACACAGACAAAAAGCCTTGTCTTTGGGATGACTGTGCCTAATGGCAACAGGACCACAGTCGTAACTGCAGTGGAAGTGAGTTCTCTGTGCTTTAGAAGCTATATATGTGGATGACCTAAATTCACTTAACTTTTTTTCTCCTTGTTCCAGATGGAAGAGTTCATGGTTTCTGGTTTGCGTAATAGCAGAGGCTGAATAGGCATAAAGGAGCCTATAGTGCGGGTGAGGAGTGTCAAGCCCCTTGCAAGGCTTTGCTCTGTAAAAAAAGAAGAAATGAATCCTACAAGCGATGATCCAGTGTTTGGGACCATTTTTGACTGGGACTATCTCTTATGGGAAATTCGTTTGATGTTTTTAGCTGCTGGTTTTTTAATCTACTTGGGAGTATTTCTTCTATCTCACTTGTTGTCTTCATGGATAAGTACCACTTACCGTGCCTTGTATGCAAAGGAGAAGGTATTTTGGAATATGGCAGTCACACGTGCTGTGTTTGGACTTCAGAGTTGTGTTGCTGGGTTATGGGCTTTGCTCATAGATCCCGTTTTTCATGCTGACAAAGTGTATTCACAGCAAAAGTGGAGTTGGTTTAACTGTTTAATAGCTGCTGGATTTTTCTTGCTTGAAAATGTAGCTGTTCACATGTCCAACATTATTTTTAGAACATTTGATGTGTTCTTGGTACTTCATCACTTGCTTGCTTTTGGTGGCTTGGCTGGTCTAGTAATTAATGTGAAATCTGGGCATTATCTGCCTTTGATGGGAATGTTGCTGGAGATGAGTACTCCCTCAACGTGCATTTCCTGGATGCTTCTAAAGGTAAGAATGTGGTAATTTTCAAATTACATTTGTAACAGTTTTCATGCATCTCAATTGTCCATAGGTCATCTTGTCTATGGGTGTGGTTTGTCTAGATACCGGTTAGATTAACGAGTTTTGCTGAAAAGCTGTCCATGTTATTGTGGTACCTGCTTTTGTTGTGATGATATTTCTGTAGTCCTCCATATAGGTTTCTGTTTGACACTGTGTGCTGTGGATAGTGAGCTGGTATAGACTTATTCTGAGTTTGAGATGTCATACGCATGTGGAATATCACAGCTCTACATGGAAAAAATGCCTGAGAGTGTGTGTACATGAAAGCTGGATATTTGCCTTAGTTCTGCAGATTCCTCAGTGCCTTATCTTGAGGCAACTATCTCACTTCTGCATACTTTCTTGTTTTTCTAGGCTGGCTGTGCTAACACCTTTTTCTGGAAGGCAAACCAGTGGGTGATGATCCACCTGTTTCACTGCCGCATGATTCTTACTTACCACATGTGGTGGGTGTGTATTTTCAACTGGAATTCTGTGGTGGAAAATCTGGGACTTCTTCATTTTATTGTTTTATTCTCGGGATTATTTGCCGTTACACTAATACTTAACCCATACTGGACATACAAAAAAACTCAGCAACTCCACCGCCCAACTGACTGGAACTTTGAAAATAAAGCGATGGAAAATGGAAACTTAAATGGTGAAACACAAGAAAAGAAGAGGATGTAACACAGAAACAGCTCTTTCCTAGCAGGGTAGTGGAAGAATACAATGCAAAGTAATTCTTTGCCCGTGAACTAGAAGCTTTTGCAAGAAGCTCGTTAATACAGTGATTCCTTGTTGATAGTGTTCTGTATGCACCAGAAGTATTTAAAAGCATCGTTTTTGTTTCATATGTGCATACACATAAGATCTTCAACCTCTTAGTTACAAATTATGCCAACAATTTTGTCAGGTTGGGCAGTATTTCATGATTTAGTAATGACATGCTCTCTAATGGCATCCTTTGTCCTCCTAATGCTTCAAAGTGGCTTTACAGTTAATTTATCTGTTAAGCTCAGCTTGAATCAAGTTTAGCTTGAATCCTATTTCACAGGTGTCAGAGATATTGATACTGGAAATTATGTTAAGTTGTTTATTAAGATCAATTATGACACAAGTTACATATGCATGGCCACTTGTGTGTGCCATTAAACCATTCCAAGTGGCTGAACTGGTCAGTGATAGAATGCAGTCATGGCTGGTTTGGTGGTGGGTTTTTTTTTTTTTTTGCTTCTTTTAAGTGCACTTGAGGAAGATAATTATTTGAGTGTTTAGTGTCAAAGTGAGTTGTAGTTTCCAGGTTGCCCTCAGTATGGGAGGAGTTCATATCCACCACACACATGCATGTGGGGATGCAGGCATTCGTTATGCTGGTGGTCTAGCTGGGTAATCATAGTGGTCCCTCCTGAGCCTGAAATCAATGAAATACAAGAGGCAACAACAGAATGTTTGCCTGGTTTGTCCTTGAAAAGATTGCTGGTTGATTAGCAAAATTACTTTCCTTATGGGTCCCCTGTGTGCGGTCATGCAGTTAGTTCCACTAGTGCTGCTGTTAGTTACTCTTATTTTTGGAAATTCTCTAAGTTATAGAGGGATTTAAAATCTGAGGTGACTCCTCTGTGGAGGAAAGCCTGTTATCACCTCCTTTAGGAGTTCAGTTGTGGGTTTAGTATTTTTATTTTACTTCGAAGAATACACAAAGTGACGCAAACAATCCATTGCACTTTATCTGCCACATCACTAAATCTATCCTTGACCTAAAGAATCGGGTTGCTTTTTCGACAGGAGCTTGGCAAATTGTGGTGGACGCTCCCCTGCTAATAGTGCTGGTCTAGTGGTGCCGCGGTGACATGTTGGGCAGTGAGTGCCCGTATGAAGGTAACGCTAGGAGAGAGTGACGCCTAGTGGCCGGAGAGTGACAAAGATACTAGTCCCTTTTGGCACACCGGACTAGCGAGAGAAAAGGCCTGTCATTTGAAACTTTGTTGTGTAGTGTGACGTGACTGCTACACGGGTTTACTTTCCAAAGTAGTAAGACTGGGCAAGCCCAAGCTGTAAGAATTTTAGGTCAAGGCTTTGTTAGGTTAGAGGCTTTGGGTACTGATCTGCGGTGGAGCGTGTTGTTTTAAATGTGTAAGGGAAACACTTTGGTGTAGACAACCCCATTTTATTAATTTTTGTGGGACCATCTTTTTGATTTTATTCTGAGTGAAGGGAAGAAGCCAGTGGTCAGGTTGCTATGTTCCCTAATTGGCTTTGTGTGAGCACAGAGTTGAAGAGCTGCCCTATTGAGGGAGAGGAACCTTCTTGCTATTAGATCACAAATATGCCAGATAGCATTGATAATGAAGTGGTGAACATCTGAAATTGCCCATTGAAAACTAGGCTGAGGGGGTCATAGTAATTTTACACAGCAACCCAATCTGTTATCCTGCTGACAGTCAGTAGAGAAAAATCTAAATTTTGTGCCACCTTCTTATTTCGAAGCAGGCCAGAATGAGGTTGCAGTGTTTTGTCAGTGTTGCCTGTCTGGACACTATCCTATGGAAAAAAGGGTTCTCTAAAACTTGAAATTATGTACCTCCCCTGAGGGGTTGTGTGTGGGAGACCAACGGTAAAAGTACTTTAGAAGAAAGTAGAGGGATGAATTCTGCAGAAACAGAAGCCATATATGTGATCCAAATGCATATCTTGCAGAATCCAATACCTCACTTGCAGGAGTACCAGAGGGAAGGCAGAGGATAAGTCACCAGATACCAAAATGGCGTGCTCTACACAGCTTAAAACTTAAAGGTTTGGATTGGATAAAACAAGGTAATAATTATAAAAACCCCACCTACAGATTTCTGCAGAATCCTAACAGAAAATGGAAGCATCAGAAGAGAAATAAGTTTGGGCCAAGTGTGTAATCCTTACAGTGGCAGGCTAAAGGAGGTGAAGTTTCTATGTGCTAAAATAAAAGAATATGGAGGGTTTGGGTGAGTAGTGAATTTGGGACTGAAAAAAGAGATTAGGTGTGGTCCAAGCAGACAGGTGGATAGCTAATGTCAGTGGCACCAGACTTCTAAAGTGAAGTATTTTGTATTATTAATTTGTGTAATTTTATTAAGCGTATTTTAAATCTTCCATTAAAAATATTTTTTAATCATAATAAGGCAATGTTTTTAGTATGCATCTTAGTGTGAATTTTTTCAGGGAAAGACTGTCAAATCTTTTGTATGTCTTAACTATATAAATGATAATACCTAAGAGCACCTGTCAACTTAAAACACTGCTAGACCAAGAGAACTATGCAATAAAGCAAATAACAGCACTCACTTTGTTTCTGTTGGTTTGAGGGGCGAGAGGATTTTTACAGTCCAGCTAGAAATCCAACGGGACATAAAAATACAGATGACCTTTCTTCACCTTGATGGCCTAGAGCTGGAGTTACCAATTCTGTGACACAGAGCCTTTTTTTTTTTTTTTTTTTTTTTTTTTTTAAATATACTTGAGTGTTTTCTTCATGGCTGTTCCCTTCAAGAGGATTTTCTGGTTAATGATTGTGGATGACTGTCTCATTGCCCTGAAACAAGACTGAAAAAGTTCCCTAACTGAGGGTTTTGGTGTCTAATTACTCTTATAACCAAGTACTGCTTTTCAGCCCAAAGGTGGACTAGCCATAGTTTGTTTATAAATTTTGTTAATCTGAAACTAATCCCAGTCCTATTGGGCCTGGGAGCCTGTAAGGCCTCATCTGTGATCCAATGTAAAAAAAGTCAGTCAGCTTCAGCAGTGGCTGGATCAGGTCACAGGGTGTGCTGCTGCCATGATTTGGAAAACGTGCACAGTATGTTTTTGGATGAATTGTTTGCCTGGGGGACGTGGAGACTTCATCCTGCTTTCTTGTTGGACAAGCTTCTTCAAGGAGTGCTCTTGGTGTCACTGTTATGGCTGATGCTTTTTTAAAAACAAACAAGCAACAAACCATGATGGGGTGGGGTTTGGGAGGTGTTTTTTTTGGAGGGTGCAAGGGGGTGTGGTTTTTTGTGTTTAGTTTGTTGTTTTTCTGGGGTTTTTGTTTTGTTTTGTTTTTGGTTTTGTTTTTGTTTTTTTTAAGAAAAATGTCTGATCTAAGACACTCTGGCCAGGCATCTGGTTCTTCCAGCATTCCTAAATCACAGTTTGTGTTTGCCTCCATTTGTGTCCTGTCTTGTGGTTTGTTTTTTTTTTTAAAACCTGTCATCGTTTTTCCCTCCCACCCACCAATTTTTCGATAATATTTACTCTTACTTGCAGTACTGGTCATGATCTTGCAGCAGTCGCATTACCACAGCGATATCTTTGTCTGATAGTTTTCAGCACGTACTGTTGGGCCCTTCTTCCCCTAAATACCTGTGTCCAAATCTTCTGGGTTTTTTTGCCTTTTCCTGGTAACACAGATTAAATATTGATGTCTTGTACAGTTATGACACCTTTCTTAACCTCAGGGAGAGTCACACTTAAAGTGAATTTAGAAGTGTTAAGCAAATTCAAGTCTGCTCTTGTACAATATGTTTGTTGAATGGTACAGCATCTTTACACTGTGTACATAAATAAAAATATTTTATTGAATAATTGTCTACCGTGAGTTTCATTTACTGATGAAAAGAATGGCTATTTTTTACTTGCTATTTGTAGATTAAACAGTTTTTGCAGTGCATGCACTAAAAAGATGACTTGCAATATTCTGTTAAACTCGACAAAGGTAATGTCATATCCATGGAAATAGCTCTAAAGGTGCAAGCTAATGTCCCTTCACCAACATTTAACATATTAATAGGAGCATGTTTAGTTACCTGACTACAACACTAGAAGCTGTACTAGATGTAAGTATGTATTAAAAAGTTAAAAAGCATCACTTGGAAATGACCCTTCTGGCTTGTGTGTTTGGACTGTGCGGTCTGGTTTTGCATTAGGCTCTAACTGTGAAGGCACTTCATTTCGTACCACAGGACACTTCATGGTTTAGTATGAGCTACCTTAAATTATTTAAAAAAAAAACCCAACCAACCAAACAAAAAAAACCCACCCAAACCCAATCTTGTCTCATTGCTAAATAACAAAGCACAATTAAATGCGTGTGTCTTGTGTGGTGCTTTGCAGGACTTAATTCCTGATGTGAGCTGATGGAAAACAGCGTCATTACTGGCATTTTAATTATTCTTATAAGAATGTACTGTGTAAGCAACTGGCTGGCATAATTTTGCTAGCTGCCTCTGCAGTGAAGTCCCCAAGACTAATTGAAGCAGAAGAAAGACGCTCATGTGTAAAGCTCCGCTAACTGTGGAATGTGCGTGGGTGCAGACAGGGATGAGAAGAACAATGCCTAATAGTATTTGTATGAATAACTTCATCTCTTTTTTTTTTTTTTTTTTTTGGTAAATAATTGTAAACAGAATGTAAATATTATTAATGTTTTGCTATTCAGATGTTTTCAGTTAATAGGTAAATATATTTTACTTAGTAGCTCTTACTGTATTCCCAGAAAAGTATTAGAGCACAGTGTCCGGGTTTAAGCTAAAACAAGTAATTCAGCGTTATTCAGCAATTACAGTCTTTTGATCTCGTGTCATGGCACTGGTATTTAAGTTGGTAATTTGGAACAAAAAAATAAGTGATGGTCATTGAGTGATGTCTGTTGCTCTAGTTTTTGGCCCCCAGAGGGG